GTTCAGTCGCGCGAGTGAGTGAGTGTGTGTGTGTGAGAGAGAGAGAGAGAGAGAGAGAGAACCTTTCCAACCGAGAGAGAGAGAGAGAGAGAGAGAGAGAGAGAGAGAGAGAGAGAGAGAGCCGTTCTGCAACCAGTCCCACGTTTGTGAGAGAGAGAGAGAGAGAGAGAGAGAGAGAGAGAGAGAGAGAGAGAGAGTGCCGTTCTGCAACCAGTCCCACACGCGCCGCCACTTATAATGCTTATGGTTTGATTAACTTTGATAGAATACGAGCCAGTGAATCGCAATTACAAGCAATCATCATTGAAAGCGCGAAGTGATTGGCACTTTTATGGAAGCTGAAATGTGGGCTTCAATGCGCATCGCTCATGGAATCATAATCTGGAGAGTTCGTACCATGAAGCGGAAGAGTCTGCACCATGAGCAATGTCCACCGCCGTCCGGTGAAGGGTGTACAACTTTACACTATATCAACTTCAAAGCTTTTACAACCGACTGGAAACAGTCTGCAATGTAAGTGGAACCCCCTGAGGATGCATCTATACCAACTTGAAGGAACAAACTGTCGCAAGTGGTCAGGTCCGTCTACTGTGTACACGTTGTAAAGGCGGTGCCCGGGTAGTGCACGTAAAGGGGGTGCACTACAGGTTATAAAGGGGGTGCACTACAGGTTGTAAAGGGGGTTCACTACAGGTTATAAAGGGGGGGGTGAGGCTGGGTAGTGCACACAAAGGGGGTGCAGTGCAGGTTGTAAAGGGGGCATGCGCAGGTGGTGCATGTAAAATTTTGAGTGCCTGAAGCTTCACAAACTTATAAACCACGAGTACTTCCGAGGCTGCGAGGCAATTTTTTCGTGCTTTTGACGCGCTTTGTTTTTTTTTTCTTTTTTCCCCTCAATTTTCAATTTTCAGAGTTTTTCTGACGTTATTCCCTGACAAAGCGCAAGTTGTTTTTGCTTTTTTGAATTAAAAGAAATGCTCCAGTCTATCCGTAGGGAGCAGCATGTGTTATCCGGCATCCTTATTATTTGGGAAAATTTTCTTAAAGAAGGTAAGAATGAAATGACCAGCTAGACTACAAGCCGGGCTGCACCGGGTAACCTTATTTTGTGGGGGGGTTGCCCGCCGTGCAAGGATCCGGGAAGGGCCCAGGCACACACACACACACACACACACACACACACACACAAAAAAAAAAAAAAAAAAAAAAAAAAAAAAAACAACAACACAAAAAAAAACAAAACAAAACAAAACAAAACATTGCATGAGGAAAAAAAACTGAACAATGTGGTTTTTGCACTTATGATTTTGTAGTTTTCATGGGGGTACAATAGCATGCGTAACTGGGGTTTCTCCGTTTTTGGTATTTGGTGCCTCGTTTTCTCATGGCTGGGGATGGGTTTGGCCGGAGGGAGGGCCTTGTCCAGCTCCGCTTGGCTGCAATTGTTCATGTGAGGGACACCGGGCCCGTTTCCCAGCTATCAATGATATGATATGATCCCTTTTTCTTCCAAATAAAAAAGAAGGATAATAACTGAACAACTTACAAGCCAAAATTAAAATTTTAAAAAGAAACAGAGTTAGCGTCCCCTAACTGATTACACTGTAAGTGATAATCCACCTTAACCCCATTCGGTTGTGGTTAAGGCTCCGTTAAGCATCATCAACGACTGCCCGACAACTAATCATACCCTCTGAGGAGGTGGGCACCAACCACTGCCCTCAAGGTACCTGTGACAAAAATCAAAGCTGGCTACCACTCACCCACACCAGATGGAAAACTCTACAGACTGTCGGTGCACACCCCATCACAAGCCAGCAAAACACCCACAAAACAAAGAAAGGTCTATCACAAGCCAAAAAATACACTCCACAGAGTCCAGACACCCCGCAGGCACTACAGGGGGGCTGACTGAAAAATACCAAATAACCCTCTGGGTGTCCGAATTGTGTCCGGTCGGACAACCGGGGAGTCGTCCGCAGCAGACGAAACTCGGGAGCACAAAAATATTATTCATGGAAGCGAATTCCAATGAGAAACCATCAGCAAAAAGTGAGGATCCGACAGGAGCAGCAACCAAAGGACCTTGCTCCACTGCTCAACACGTACATCCACTTGGATCCAATTTCAGGCCCAGGTGCATTTCGGGCGAGGCCAGGCAAACATTTGGAATGTATACGAACAAGTATGAGCTGAAGTATGAGCTGCAGACACATCGAGTGTTGTTTGCAGTGGAGCGAGACCCGAAAAATCACGGCAGCTTACAAGGCCTCATGTTCCACTGCCAAGCTTCCGTTTGCTTGGAATGCAAGCGCGCTTTTGTGGCAGAAAGCGACACAGCAACCAGAAATGGTGACGAGAAAGAACAGGAAGAGGTAGCCAGAGGTTGATACAACACTTGGACTCTTGCATCAACCCACCCCGCCCAAACGAGTGATTTGTTGCACAGATGTAGAACTTATCAGACTCATCATCCTCGACCATCGCCTTCGCCCCCCCCCCCCCCCCCCACACACACACCTCCCAATGCATCACCATACGGCAACAGTCTCGGCAACGGTTCCAGTGGGAGACTGTTGCCTCGGACTGGGTTAGGAAAAAGTAGATGCTTTCGTAGCCCAGAGTCGTCGTCGGCCTTCGCACAAAGAACAGGTCACGGAAAGCACAGCACATACCGGAAGAGTATTGTGTTGTGGTCTACAAGATAAGGCTGTATGGATTTATAATTTTATATAGATTAATGGAAGGCTGCAGGCTGCAGAGATTTTATAGAGACAGAAGTTGGGCACCGCACCCATATAGACCCTGATGCAATACCTCCATAAGGGAGGGGGAGGGGGGGGATTTACCAAGTTACCAAATAAATGCAAAATTGGGAGGAATCAAAGAGAGATTTGGTTGAGCCCACATAGAAGGGTTGTGGAGTGAAGGGTCACTAAACCCAACAGCCCACCATACGATGCATGAGCCAATGTTGTTTGTCCCACGAAACAAAAACAAAAAAAGCACGGAGTCATCCCGATTTGCCCTGACTACAAAGAACAAAGAAAACCCCTCTCTTTCCCTTCCCACGGGGGTGTGTAGGTTCTGCCACGTGGCAGGGGTTGGGACCAACCTTGCCTGATGCTGCGGCCATCCTAGCGTCCAGATAGGCAGCCAATACCCTCGCAAGAGGGCAATCGTCGCTGCTCTTCGTTGATGACGACTTTCAGTTAGTTTCCTGCAGGTGCAACTGCCCACCAATAGACTAACTCGTCTGTTCTGAAAAAAAAAAAAAAAAAAAAAAGGGAAAAAGAAGACCAAGGAAGCCATCAGATCATGTCTGTAGAATAAATGCATAGAAAATACATTGCATTAGACAGAGCATCGTCCGTATGGGCCGCACGGTGCATGGGCTGCGCACTACATCCTGCGTGTGGAGCTTCAATGCTGCTTCTGTGCGCACCTTTTCTCCCTGTTTACCTGTTTCTCGCTGAGTCCAAATCAATCTTGGCGTTTGCTCAGCGCGCACTTCTCACACGCAGCACTGGCACCCACACGCAACCAAACAAACTGCTGCTACTCCAAAAGACAACAACCTCACTGTGAGTTTGGCCAAATCAATCTTGGCGCCCAAGAGAACGACGGCCAGCTTGGTAGTTGGAACAAGGTACATAGACAAAGGAGGGTTCGCCTGTCACCTACCTTCCAACAAGGTACATAGACAAAGAAGGAGTCCGCCTTTTTTTTTTCTTTTTTTTAATCAGAACCTCTTGGTTCAGGCTCCTGCCATTCTGGGGAGCAACAGTCCGGTTCCTATTCCCCCGGCAAGTCAATGAATAGTACAAGGTTGACTCCACCACGCTCCTCCCCATTAAGGTTGAGAGACCCGAGTGGGCGGCATTGATTGCTTCCTTCGAGAAGGATGTAACCGTTTCTTTTTTCTTTTGCTGTTTTTTTTTTTTTTTTCCTGTTTTTGGTCATAAACACGCGTAGAGACAGGACCACCAGAGGAGGACGGCCAGCTTGGGATCTGCACGAGTAGCAGCCGTACAACCACCGGTACTTCACTTGTTGGACACCTTTTTTCCATGCGGGCAAAAAGAACACGAACCAGGGTCTGCCTGCTCCTGGCTGGCGCCGCCTGCCATTTTGCTCTGTGGTGAGCCGAGGTTCAAAATTCACGGCCCAATTACAGCCCCGTCCGGAAAAAAATGGGACGGGTGGGCTGAGTACTGGAATAGTTAAAACTGCCAGCCAAATACTCGTGGTTTTGTACTGGTGGTTTTGACCGCCAGTAAATCCACCAGCACTTCCCGAGGCATTTTTCTCCTGGGCTCGAACACCCCGCGTTTGGCTGGTGCCACTGGCCATTCTGCTCCAGCGGCCAGGATCGAAAAGTTGCGGCTGGCGCATGCAAAAAGCGCTTTTTCCCCCATAGTGGGGAAACGTACTGGTGGTGGTTTAGGCATATGTAAGAATAATATAAAGACCAGCACAGCCCACGGTGCCCTCAGTGTGACAGTGGTAGCAGCCTTCCGTGATAGGTACCTTATTCTTCCTCCGTTCATCAGCCACTTCCCTCCTATTCTTGATGTGGAAAGAGAGGAGTTAACATTAGCGTTTCACTACACCATGCATACATCGACTGCCACAGCACGTAACCATTTCCCAATGTGTTGTTCTTGAGTCAGCACGCATCAACATCACCAAACATCCTCGACTCGAATAAACCGACTTCGAGCACACGTCACACTCAGCATGAGTGCATCAACATTGCCAAACATCCGCGCAAGGACACATGACACTCAGCACATCAACCACCACAAGATCCACTAGGACACACACATACTGCCCACTCCTTTCCAGCTGGGGTCTTTCGTTCGTGCCCTCCACATCACATTCACAGGCACTACTGTCGGCTCCCGCGCTTATGCCTTTTGCAGTATTTGTACCATCTTCGTCACAAGAAGATTAGCTCGGTCGCTCAGCCTCTCTTCCTCTGTATGCTCTTCAGGCAGATGCATCGACATTTCATTACCACGGTTCCCATTCAACAAGAATGGAACCAGATTCCCAACAACAGCATTGGGCTTGTGGGGTACCGGGGACCCAATAAAACAGATCTCTGTTCACACCTGCACTCAATTTGAAGAAGAAAAACCAAAAAAAAAGAAAAAGAAGACGATGACGAAGAAGAAGAAGAAAAAAAAAACATATACCATGAACAGATCTACGCACTCCACCAACGTTGATGGGAACGAAGACGTGCGTTTGCCTATCATCACACTGCCGCAAGTGTGTTTGTTTTGTTTGTTTGTTTGTTAACGAGCGCGATACTGCAGATGCCAAGCACCTTTGGGCTGCTGGAACACCAGCTACTAAGCCTACCTATCTTCACGACACCACATGTCCAGAAGTACACACGTACACAGTGAGTCAAAAGTACACCATCAGCAAACATGCTCTCTCCGGGGAGGCCCCCCCGTCCAACGATTTGTCCCACTCTCTCCAGCTCGTTGAGAGGGGGGGGGGGAGGATGGTTGGCCGCCGTAATTTGTAACCCAGACGAACGGGCTCATTCTTTTCTATCACAACTACTCTGGCTGCTTGCTGTTCCGATGTCCTTGTCTCCGGAAGGCACATTGTCATACCGATAATCCCATCCAGACCTCAGGGCGATGACAGAGAGAGAGAGAGAGGAAAGAGGGGAAAGAGAGAGGACGGCGACATCAGACAAAGAGACCAAGAAAAATCCACCATATGCCATGTCCTCACACACCGCCTTTAATCCTTCCTTCTCTGCACAAAACCAACCCCATCCAGATAAATCATTCACATTCCTCGCAGACTGTCCGTGAACTTTTCGATTCGCTAATCAGCAGCTACTAACAACCAGCTGAGATAGTACCTCTCAAGCCAGCTCAGGTGCTCTGTACACTCTTTTTCTCACGACGAGGACACGTTGACACCCTCCTCCATCAACAACCCCTTTCATCGGTCCTACAGAAGCGCCCACCCGGCCAGGAAGGTCCCAGAACCAACCGCCAAACCTGCCACTTCAGCCCTTCCCTCTCGCCATAATATCATTGCATGACGAAAGGAGCATTCTCCACAATCTCCAACAGAAAGGCCTGCAGAAGGGCCTGCCCGGCCAGGAAGGTCACCGTCACCATCTCCACAATCTGCCACAGCTATCCAAACACAGCCTGTGCCGAGAACCCAACCGCCAACACACCCCGACCGGCCAGGACCTGGACAAGCATGCATCCGGTAGCGTAGGGTGAGGAAGCCTCTTCCTCTCTCTTCATCCCATGGGCACATGAACAATGCTCACCGCATTCCTGTATGCCAAACCGCCTACACAGCAAACGTTCCCTGAGACATCATACACAGACACCACGTGTGGGACCAGATCATGTCCCGTCGCACAGAATCGCATCCTGTCTATACTCTTGCGCCCAGACAACCATCAAGTACCCCGGCCCACTCTAATCGCTGCCTGTCGCCAGACTCCGCTCATCTGCCATGACTTCCATCGGCCCAGGATTCCACATCTGTCATCCAGCTCATGAGCATTTCTCTTCTTCCTCTCCGTGCCTGAGGCTATGCGAGAAGAGGAAAAACCACGAATCAGCTATCCATCAGGTCAGCACTTCTCCACGAAAGCAACGGCTCTGCAAATCCATTAATGGAATTGCAAAGTTGCAAAAGGCGGGCATCGCACTTCTGCCGCAGGGATCGTTGACGGTTACCACAGGTCAGTCGCTGACAGCCGCTGCAAAATTCCACTCACCTGGAGCTTCACGATCACGACAGGGCGAAGCAGAAAAGGTCGAGGCATCGGACGATCGGATACCCAGAAGTTACCTCACCAGCATCACAAGTTGCACATCCTACAGCACATTCCTCTCCTCTCAGGCAGTTCTCACGGTGGATCCTCGTGATCCTCCAGAGAGGAAGCGTGGCGTGGTCCATACCCGGCGTTATTTTGGGGGATATGACTCACACATACTTTTCATGTTCACAAGGACAGGTTTCACAAGGATGCCTTGACTGCCCCTCGATCCTGCCCCTCGATCCAGGGCAACTCCCAATACTCAAATGCACAACAGATCTAACGGGCACAAGTCTTCAAGCTCCATTTTGCTGCATGCGCAACCAGCGCCTGGGCAACATCTCATCCTCCTCCACATTCCATGCCAACAGTTTCCGTCAAAGATCGTATTCGCGTTCACACGTACGGTTTTCACAAGCATAACATCACCGCCCGTCCATCACCCCATCATGTGCATGCTCGATCCGAAAGAAACTCCCATCACTCCAAATGCAACTTACATGCACCAGTGTTCTCCTCTCCTCCTCCTCGTACCTTTGTGTTCTTGATGAGATGATGACCGGACGTGAGGTACTCGATTTCGACATCTGCCACTTGAAGATCAAACTGCCCAGGAACTGCCTCTCTCCTCCATGCAAAGCTCACTTCCCTTGAAACCGCACCTTTTCAGTTTGCCGTTGTCCTGCACGATGGGGCAGACAAAAATAACACCAATGCCAGCACCACACGCACCCGTCAAAACAATGAAACGCACACATGTGCTTTCCCAAACAACACCAATATTGCAGAAGGAATATGAAAAAAGACGACATACTGAGGCGAACAGCAGCAGGATTCCGTTTCCCTCTTTCCCCTATCAATACAGTACCTCCACCCCATCGCTTTCCACTTAAACCACCAGTACCTCCTCCAAGCCTCTTCCTCGAAGGAAAACGGCGCTGGCGCAACATACAATCGTTCTGCCTCGCATCACAAGCCTTTTCTGACTGTGTAGGCCAACCCCCATGCTGGGAAAGGGACTGGCAGTCGAGGAGAGGTCTCCTCTCAGCTCACAGAATGTCTGATCAGGCGGCCCAGTACCCCCACAAAAACCTACGGAAATCATCCCACCAAGACCAGCAGAGAGGACCAGACAGCACAACACACTGCCAAAGAGGATTCAAGGCAAGGGTGGTCCCCGCTGTAGAGGTGGGTGTCCTGCACTGTAAACATCAGAATGCCTTGAGGAACAGGATGCCGCAAAATGTAAGAAACAGCTCATACTCCCTCCATCACCATCAAGTTTTATCCGATTTGGGGCTCCACCAGGCCAGCAGTTGGCTAGGTTAAGAATGGATCCCCCAGCAGAACAGTCTAACAGCTGTTTTTCACTCGCGTATGTTAGACAGGAGGTTCATCTTGACCAGCGTGAACTTTGCTGACCAGGGTAGGGAAATTTTTGCCCGGGAAGATCACTTCCTTCCACTAAGGACAGTTGCTGACAACAACGGTTATTATAAAGGCTGGTCCTCGTCGGATGGTGAGGGGGAGAGAGAGACAGAGAGAGAGAGAGAGAGAGAGAGAGCTGGGAGTAAAGAGAAAGGAGTGCAAACAGAATAAAGGGGTATAAAAGTGACTGAGAGAGAGAGAGGTGGACGTGCAGAGAGAGAGAGAGAGAGAGAGAGAGAGAGAGAGAGAGAGAGAGAGAGAGAGAAAGAGAGAGAGGGAGAGAGAGAGAGAGAGGGAGAGAGAGAGAGAGCTGAGAGAAAGGGGAAAGGGGTGTGATGCAGAATATAGGGGTATAAAAGGGACACAGAGAGAGAGAGAAAAGCAAGGAAAGAGAGCAGAGAGAAAGCAAGGAAGCCGAAAGGGTTTTTGACAGCTGCGCCGCTGGATACCGGAATAGACCGCTACTGACATCGAGGAATATGGCCCCTCTGTAATTCTGGAAATGCGATTAGCAGCTCAAGACGCTGCTGGGAAGATCGGTCAGACATATCACCACTTGCACAGTCAATCCATCAACGTTTGCTCCAAAGCACTGAGGCACGGATCATGCGAACGGACACTGGAGAAACAGACTTTTTCACAGAAGGCCTGAGTTCTGGCAATGCAGGACAATGCAAGAGAGAATGCAAAGCACAATGCTCCAGATCCTCAGCAGTGCGCAATGACACACAGACCAACGTAAGACGACACGGCGCGCAGACTGATCTAATATGACATCAGAAATGAAGTAACCTGCAAGATCCGGTCGACTGCAGCACCTCACAAGAACATCAATGGGTTCCGCTCTTTGGCTGTCAGTCTGTTTTTTTTTTCGCAAGATATTCTTCTTACCAAGAACACTCTTTAGACTTCTTTCTTCTTCAGCAAGGGGGCACGCTCCTTCGCTCAGAAGAAACAGAAAAAAACAGCTGATGAGAATCACACTCGGCTGAACAGAATGCATCTATGCTCCACTGCCACAAGTGGGATCTGTTCCATCTGGATAAAGACTACTACTCTTCCAGCGCTGTCTCACAGAAGAACGCACCACCGTATTCACACGAGTAAAACGACCGGTCATCATAGAGCCGTATTCGGTGCAACTTTCAGCCTACATGCAGCAATAATGACCAGGCACTGTATTCGGCCAAAGACGGTACTTCACAACCACACCACGCAAACCACTTCCTTCTCTGCTAGACCTGAGTTAACCTTCTTCTCTACTAGAGTTAACCTTCTTCTGTACTAGAGCTAACCTTCTTCTCTACAAGAGTGAGCCTTCTGCTCTGCTAGAGTGAGCGAGATCTTCTCTGCTAGAGTGAGCCTTTTTCTCCTCTAGAGTGAGAGCACTGTCCAACTACGGAGTCTGCACAGATGAGAGAATCTGAGTCTCCCAAGACGAGATACTTTACTGTTTACGCAACACTAAAGACGTGACAAGCCATGAGATGCAGCGCCTTGAACTGCTAATCGCATTTCCAGAATTACAGAGGGGCCATGTTCCTCCCTTCAGTAGCTTTCTATTTCGGTATCCATCGGCACGGCTGTCAAAAACCCTTTCGGCTCCCTTGCTTTCTCTCCCCTCTCCCACGGTATTGCTAATATTCAATCAACTTTGAGTAACACTATAATTACCATAACAGATCCTTTTGGAGATACCAAATCTTGGTCCTCTTCTGGTTCAGTGCGATTTAAAGGATCTCGTCGTTCAACCAATTATGCTGCTCAAGCTACTGCTGAGAATGTAGCGCGTGCTGCTATTCCATTAGGAATTAAGTCAGTTGAAGTGAGAATCAAAGGTTTAGGTTATGGAAAGCCTTCGGCCTTACGTGGTTTACAATTAGGACATCTGTTAAATTTGGAAAGGTAGAAAGGAGATTATCATGAACAAGACAAAGTTCCAAGGACTCAGTCTCAGACAGCAGCCGCTCACCTTTCGGCCTACCGTTGTTCGGTAACAAACTTCTCCTTACCACCTCCGCTTCTTAAAAGAGTTATAGCGGTAGCCGATTTATAAAAAAAGCGTTCTGGGGCCACTTAACAAATTGACGCCCTGGTGATGATGATGATGATGATGATGATGATGATGATCTCCGAAGAATTTCTCCCCAGACAGCAGTCTGAAACACCCCTCCGCCACCGGGCTCGCTCAGCTGGTACACCCATGAGCTGTTAATACAGAGACCCACGTTCAAATCCAGAAAGGATGAAACCAGAAACACATATCCACCGCCTACATCTCTCGGCGCAGAAGATCGGCTGGTTGCTCGAAGCCTCCTGCTAACTACCGTCTTCAGACGTATCGAACGCACGGTCATTATAACTGCATCTGGAGCAACTTTCCGTCCAGATACAAAGATAATTACGTCGCCTCCTGCTAACTACCGTCTTCACACGTATCGAATGCACGGTCATTATAACTGCATCTGGGGCAACTTTCCGTCCAGATACAAAGATAATTACGTCGCGCTCTATTCGGTGAAGACGGCCGCCTGTCCGAACGCCGATCTTGATTTCCTGATAACAACTTTCACCAGCTCRAAAAACAGAAAAAGGGGAAAAAAAAAAAAAAGAATCACAGACCATTCCCTTCAGARGGGGGGGGGGGGGGGGGGGGGGCGSGGCATGGGKGCGCGCTGCTTGCGATCTCTCTTGACTGACGATTGATTTGCCCTGAACTTCGGGTCTCGCCCGCCACTCACGACATGCAAAAACGACAAATTATGGCGATGTATCTGTCGATGTTGTAGCGGAAAATTCATTCTCATTTTGCTCATTTGGTGCGCAGGGGAGCGCGGGGAGCGCGGCCCTTCATCGGGATGGCGAGCAGACGACTCTGTCATTATCCAAAAAAATCCGTACCTCCGAAGACACGGCGCGCAGTGAAAAACGTATCAAATGCAACAAAACCCACCCACCACGCAAAAGAATAAAACAGTCATATTAAAAAAAAAAAAAAAAAAAAGACAGAAAATAGGGCTAGCCAACGTCGCCCTCCCTAATTTTTTGGTTAATCAGTCTGTTCGATGTTTCTCTTCTTCCAGTCATTGCCAACTCTCCTGCTACCGTCTTCCCCCGAATAAAACATACAGTCATTAAAGCTGTATTTGGCGCAACTTTCAAACTAGATACAGCGATAACGAACGTGCGTTCTACTCGGGTAAGGACGGCAGAGCTTTGAGATTTCATATCCCGAAGTCACACGATTATTTTCGATTACCTCCTCTAATTTATTTATTTAAATTATTTCGTCTCCCTCGTAAATAATATAATATAATATAATAATACTATACTAATTACCGTAGTTGGTTACTCTAGTAATATTTCCTTCGCCCAGGTAAGTTCCATGCATACTGCCTGCCGCTATTTGGACATCTCGTGAAACGAAATGGGCAGGCCCTACCAGCTTCTCCTCGCCAAATACAAGACCGTATATATTGTTTTTTTTTTTTAATCAAATTAGGTGAACGCGCCTAGGTTAGAAAAACGGTGAACAAAAAAAAAAAAAAAAAAAAAAAAAAAAAAGGGGGGGGGGGACGAGAGAAAAATGAATAAACAGTGATATTTCGAGAGGAAATAAAAATAAATAAGAAAAAAAAAAAAAAAAAAAAAAAAAGGGTGAACCGATTTGGAATTCCGTAGAAGCTTCTTGGACCGGTAGATTGGAATCGGCCCTGTAGTCCAAGCGTTTTAGATTCTTGTGGAAGGTTCTTGGATCGGTTTAGATCAGAATAGGATTTTTTTTATTTTTTTTGTGTGTGTGTGTGAACCGATATGGACAATTATGCTAGAGACTTGGACGGATACACTATGCCCTCCGTCAGAAGGAACGATTTCGACTGACGAGCGCAGAAATAAATTGGTGGGCCCCACAGAAAATCGTGCGTTGCGTCACTCACGTGTGTGCTGCGTGCATCCACCTATACCTTCTTTCCCCGAATACAACGCACGGTCATACGGTAATAGCTATATTTAGACTCAAAAATACCCCAACTGACCGTACGTTGTATTCGGGGGGGAAGAAGGTAGGTACGACTACCCACGTGCATTCACTGCCGCCGAGCATCGACCCACGTGTCCTGTGTGTTCACGTGCCTAGCTCCCTGACTGATCTTGCACGAGCGTGATCTTTTGTGCAAACGGCAATGTCCGTTAGAGGCACGTGAGAGGCAGGTACAACCGCATTGACGATGTTCACAAGCGAAAGATCATCTAGTCTATACCTTCATTGAAGGCAAAACGATTGCCCAGAGAGACTGCAGTACGGGAGCAGCAGCCGGGCCATGGTTCAGACGCATGTGACTACCATGCAAAATCCCTTCACTACTTTAATCTCTTCGTCGGTCCCGATGGTCTGTGCAGAATCTCAAATCTGAAAAAACAAACAAAAAAAAATCAAAAAAAAAAAAAAATCTCAAACCGGTCGATTGTTGGACTAAATGTGGTTTTGGCAATTACACTAATTTGTTAAATCAATCTGCCGAGTAACTCTATCAAGCGTCCAAACTGTTACTGTAAATCCTTTTGTCCAAAATGCTCATTCATTTCCCCCAACCTACCTATATCAGGCATTGGCTAAGATCAAGTGTAGTATCTGTTCTAATCAGTTTAATATCTGATTAAAAAAAAAAAAAAAATGCTCATCTCATTTCTCCCAACCTAAATCTGGTATGAACCACACAAAAAAAAAAAAAAAATGCTCATCACTTCTCCCAACCTATATCGGCTGACCAATTAGGTTTGATATTGTACTAAATAGGAAAATCGTCGAACTCGCCAATTCAGTTTGATGGCTGTCCAATTGAATTTCCGTTCGTCCAAATCGCTTCACCTTGACCCTAGCTTACCTGGTCAAAGGAGTAATTGAGTGCTTCCTCTGACCTCAAGTACTCAGATGATTTACGTCCGTACATTAAAATCCTCCATGCCAATAGAAAAGCCATATCATAAAAATCCTCTGTTGCTTTATGAATTATAGTCCTCCATGATAGTCAGATGCTTGCTTCTTAAGAACAGAAGGGCGCGAAACGGCATCAGGAAAGAGATGGGAAGAAAAAGGTTAATGGGACAAGCAGCACGGCCCTTCTCAAGCAACACACAAGCATAATCAAACAAAACATAGACAAAAAACACAGAACACTCACGCACCCCCTTACCCTCGATCGGCACAACTCTCTCTCTCTCTCTCTCTCTCTCTCTCTCTCTCTCTCTCTCTCTCTCTCTCTCTCTCTCTCTCTCTTTTTCGCACATACAGATGAACAGAGCCCTCTGGCAAGACATAAAGGAGATAATGCAGCTGGCAAAAAGTACAGGGGGCACATGTCGGATAGCGTAAAGAGATGACAAGACGGCATGAAGCAATGAGCGTCAATGCACATTCTTTTATCTAGGTCCAACCGCAGAGCAACGAGACCCAGCAACAAAACCCCTTTTTTTTTTGCACATTCTTTTATTTTTTTTTATTTTTTTTTTTGCACATTCTTTTAGGTTCAACCGCACAGCAGCAAAACGCCATTTTCAAATGTGTATACATATACTGACATCTGTCTCCGGTAGTATTGGGAGGGGACTCAGCGCGGTCCTCGAAAGGATGACAAGAAACAGCAGGAGAGCGGATATATCATGCAGAAAGGATACGGACGGTGACATGGACAAAGCACACGTGAGACGCGCCAGCAAACAACGAAACACACAAGTTTGACGTGATTAAACAAAAAACAGTAGGGGAAAAATAGACACGGGTCAAATGATTGATTACCTGAGTCGAGGTAGCGGTGGCAGTCGGCGCGCCTTGTCAAACACCTTAAGCTCACGGGCGACGTTCGCGCCACGTGGGGACTCTCAACGAACTCATCCTTCTCCTCCTCTTCCTCGTGAACGAACCACATCATCATCGCCAGCTCATAAGCACGATTCCCGCCTTTTTTTAACAATTTTTGCCATTCTCTTTATCATGAGAAGTATGAGATCCTCATCATCAGCAACAGCATCGAATTCCCACCCTTTTTTTCCCAATCATTGTCACCGTAGATTAACGCTTCCGGAGTGCGCGCACGATTCCCGCCTTTTTTTCGCAATCATTGCCATTCTCTTTATCATGAGAAGAATGAGATCCTCATCATCAGCAACAGCATCGAATTCCCGCCCTTTTTTCCCAATCATTGTCACCGTAGATTAGCACCGCGCTTTTTCGTAGTGCGCGAAGCGCTAAACTTCCTCCCTCCACCCCGTCTTCTTTCTCTCCCTTCTTGCTTACCCCGCCGCCCTCCTCCTCTCGCTCTCCTACCAATAACCCTAATGCTGCCTCCGAACGAATCAGGACACAAAGTTTTTCCATCAGTCTCTCGTCTTGCCGGCTAAAAATTCTCCCGAGCAAAATGATGACATCGCTCAGGAGACGACGACCACCATGTTCCCCCGAACATAAAGCACCCTGTTAACGAACGTATACAAACTATCTTTCCGGTCAGGTACAGCCATAATGAGGGTGCGTTGTGTTCAAGTGAAGACGGTTAAGGCCGTCGAAAGAAGGGAAAGCAGTGCTCTGCCACCTCCTACAGCACAATGGCAACTCATCTTTTTCTACAGTTGCTTCTCACGATGACTCCCCTCCCTTTTCTACACCCCTTTTTGACCTCTTTGCACACCCCTTCTCTCCCTGCTCCTATCTGTCCTCCTCTTCGCCTTCCTCTTACGATCGAGGCACACCCCGAGCCCGACAGAACAAGCACAGCAACAGAAAGAGAAAGAAAAGGCGGAGAAAAACAGTGATTACCCCCAGAAACAAAACCTCGGATGAGAGCAATATGCCTACCCCCAGTTCACTACTCATTCATTCACACACACGACCTGCGATGGCGATGGCGATGGCGACGGCGACGGCGACGGCGATGACGATGACGATGGCGATGACAGCGGACGAGAGCAATGCCGCCTATGGGACCATCTGCGTCGACGGACGAGAAACGAAACACCTTATTTTTGTCTCGGACTAATATCCTGATAGCCTATCTGCTTCGCCTCCAGAGGTCCGAAAGAGGAACACGTGCGAGCCGATGAAACCAACAACCACAAAAAGAACAACACAACCCCAGACCTCCCGCTCCTACACACACACCCTCTTCCTCCGTCTCCTCCTCCTATCTGCTTCGTTCCACGAGGCAGCTAGTAAAGATCAAAAGGCCAACTAAAAAGGGGAGGGGGAAAAAAAAAACAAGGGGGAGAACGGGGTAAAGAAAGAAAGTAAAGGGCGGAAAAGCGCCGCCGCCACGGCAGCAGCAAGCAACTGCGGCTCTACCAACGACCTCCCCCCCCCCCTCCTCCTCCTCCTCCTCCTCTATTCCAGG